ACTGTAATATCTGTCCAAATTGCAATCCTACTGGCATTCCCCTTAGTGATTAATGCCCCACATTTCTGAAACTCCTTCACGGTAGAAGATTTAGCGCTGTCCTCCCATGCTTTCTGGAGTCTCTGAAGATCCCATGATGACTGTAAGTTGCCTAAAGACATCTCATGCAAGACACTGCAGTCCTCAGCCCCTGCTACACAGCACTAGCGTGGAGTTGCTGCTTGCGTTCTCGAGCTTCTGGAAGCAGCCCCTAAGCCTGCAGCCCTGTGTGCCTTGGCCATAGAAGCAGCACCCCCAAGCTGGGCATAACTGCAGAAGCCTCCTTCTGCAGCCAAACCAGGGCCCTCTGGAGCATCCCACCTGCAGGAAGGGGTGGCTGCTCCGGCATGTGACAATCTGTCCCTTTGCACAGTCTCTCTCCTGGAAGACCCCTAGACGTCTCGGAAGGAGCAGCGCTCTGTGAGGGCGTCACCACAGCCGCAAAGGATGGGGCGCTGCAGAAAGGCTCTGCTCCTCAACAATGGCCCCACATTCAAGTCGAGTCCTTATCTAAACATTACTCATATTAGTTATTGCCTTCAGAACTTTTAGGATTTCAGTATTTCAGAAAAGGGATTTATTTCCTCTTTACACAATGATTTCTTCTTTCATCTCTACCAATATATTAATTGATTATATTATTTCACTTTTGTTTATTTCTATACCTTCAAATATACCTACATTTCTACCAGATAGCTAAGCAGCTTCTAACTGTATCTGTCAACCAGCTATTTAAAAAAATTTTAGAGAAAACTAGAGATGTACATAAACTCCCACCTTTTTTCCCTTCCCCTTCTGACTTTAGAAATTTTTTATCGTTTCTATAATGTCAAGGTTTACAATCTTTATATTTTTTTCTGTAAACATAATCATCATTAATATTTATTTTAAACTTTAGTCAAACTGTTACAGCGAGTGTCACAGCGGCTGGTCCCAAGGACAAACCAAGCGGCACACAATCAAAGTTTATTCGCTAGCAGGCTCAGAGGAGCCTTGCCAGCAAATTCTGAGGACCATCTACCCAATTTTTCCCACTTTTATTAAGTTGGGGTGGTCCGAGGGGTGGGGTACCAGGTGTAGGTTAGTTGATGTGTCACACAATAGGTTAATATCATGTTGCTGCGCCAGGCGATAGGTTTAGTGCTGTGCTGAAGCCAGGCAATAGACCAGTTGATGGGCCAGGAAACAGGTGAGAGTTACTTGGAGGCGGGACTTTCGTGAGGGATGGGGTCCCTGGTGCCTGATGCCAAGTAACAGATGGAGCCTCCCTTATCAAAACAATTCGTGTGCTCAAGGCCCAATACTAGAGTTTTGCTGTAATTTCATTTACGAGCTGGTCAATTGAGGTTCATTTTTGTACAGTTTCCTAAAGAATCACTTACAGAATCCATGTGCCCAGGCACCTGCATCCTTATTTGCTCTTTAACTCTGAGTTTGTGCTTGTGCCATTGTTTGACTAGACGTGAATTTCTCGGCCACGCTGTCTTTGCCCGAGGGCTAGTGGGCCTTGCTCTGAGGTAGTCTAGCACTGAATGATGCACTTACTGCTGAGTCCTGCCTTTTTACTTTTTGTAGGAAGTCTAATATTTTATACAGCTGTTCAAATTATTTATTATTTTTAGCAAATCAATTAGAATATCTTAGAGTTGCTTATTTTGGTTTTTTTTTTTTGTCATTTTCCTATATTCTTTCATTCTGTGGGTTGTCTTTTTACCTTATTGATGATCTCCTTTGAAGTACAAGAGCTTTTATTTTAATAAGGCCTAATTTTTTTGGTTGCTTGTGATTGTAGTGTCATATCTAAGAAACCATTGCCTAGTGAGCATTTGTACCTGTGTTTCTTCTAAAAGCTTAGTGCTGTTGGGGCAGGTCTGTGTCTCTGAGTGTTGCTGTACAGGAATACCTGAGGCTGAGTAATTTATAAAGAGAAAATATTTATTTGGTTCCCAATTTTGATGTCTGTAAAAGTTCAAGATTGGGCATCCACACCCATGAGGGCCACAGGCTGCTTCCATTCCCGGCAGAAGGTGGAGGGAGCCACGTGTGCAGAAAATACACAGCAGCAGAGGAGGCAGGAGGGGACGTGCCACTCCGGAACCACCAGCTGTCACAGGCGCTGACAGGACTCACCCACCTCACCAAGGGCAGCAGTCTATTTGCGAGGCCTCCAGCCCACGACCCAAGCACTACCCATTAGGCCCCCACTTCCAACATTGGGGAATCAAATTTCAATATGAGGTTTTGAGGGGTCAAACTTCCCAACCATAGTGTAACAGAGGGAATGGCCTGAAAAAATGGCAAAAATATTTTATGTCTCTTTAAAACATCTTCTATTCATTTTTGAGAAGGAAAACCCACATCCCTGCCTCGGGCCAGTGGTGGGCAGGGGCAGGTAAGTCTTTAGTTATTTGTGCTACAGGAGATGGCCCGTCCCCCACCTGGCAGAGGGAGGTCCTGGATGGAGGTCAGGAGATTGCCTTCACCGGAGATGGGACGGTCAGAACCATCAACTGTAATCAACAGTAATTGCCTGAAGCTGAGAACCCATCCTTTAAAAGCTCTCTATTTCTGCTTATTATTAGGATGGTGGCATTGCAGACAGGAGTCTCCATCATCCTCCTTTACTGGCAAAGTGATAATCTTCTCTTTCCTTCCTCCCCAAACCACTTGTCCTCACTCTTCTGATTTGGCCTCGTGGACAAGTGCTGAGCTTTTGGTGACAATGGCAGGGCAGAAAGAGGATCCATCCCTTTATTCCCTATCGTAAGGGGCATGTTCAACAACTCATGACAAAAAAACAAGTTAACAGGAAAAAAGGCTAATGAATTTATTATGTGCACATGTGTGCACAGGAGTCATATAACATATGACTTCAAAGAGGGCCCAGATGGTTGGGACTTAAATGCCCTCTTCACAGGGGAGAGGATGGGGTGGGTAGCCCAGTGCTCACGCAGGGGCTGGTGCGTGGGCTTGGCTCGTGCTGCAGATAAAGCCCCTGTGCTCCCAGTGCTGCCCTCTGCACCGATGAGGCGTCCATCCATCTGGTGTAGCAACCACTCCCCATCTCTCTTCTCCAGCGGTTGATCTTTCCTGGTTATTTGATGAGATTCCCAGGAAAGGAGTCTTATGACTGTTAGGTCCAGAGCCCAGAGAGAGACACACACGAAGCCTCCTGTGTAGCAAAATGCTGTTTATTTTGGGCATCTGGGTGCAGATGGGTGGAGGCCAAAGAGCATCCACCCTGAGAAAGGGGAAAGCCTTGGGGATTTTTTTCTTTTTTTGAGACAGAGTCTCGCTCTATTGCCCAGGCTAGAATGCCGTGGCATCAGCCTAGCTCACAGCAACCTCAAACTCCTGGCTCAAGCGATCCTCCTGCCTCAGCCTCCCCGAGTAGCTGGGACTACAGGCATGCGCCACCATGCCCGGCTAATTGTTTTTAATTATATATATATATTTCATAATTATCCAGCTAATTTCTTTCTTTCTTTCTTTCTTCTTCTTTCTTTCTTCTTTCTTTCTTTCTTTCTTTCTTTTCTTCTTCTTCTTTCTTCTTCTTTCTTTCTTCTTCTTTCTTCTTCTTTTTCTTCTTTCTTTTTCCCTCCTTCCTTCCTTCTCTTCCTTCCTTCCTTTCCTCTTCGCTCTCTCCTTCCTTCCTTCCTTCCTTCCTTCCTTCCTTCCTTCCTTCCCTTTCGTAGAGGCAGGGTCTCACTCTTGCTCAGGCTGGTCTCAAACTCCTGAGTTCAAACGATCCTTCCACCTCAGCCTCCCAGAGCGATAGGATTATAGGCGTGAGCCACCATGCCCAGCCGGTCTTGGGTTTTATAGAGGTTTTCTTAGAGGGGAGTGAGTACCTGGGCCAGAAAAGCACTGCAATAAAAAAATTTTTTCAAACAACCAATTTCTGGGACCTCTGCGTCAGTCTCATGCTGTAGAGATAAGGGAGGAGGGTAGTTCCGTCCTTATGGGGGTGGTGGGAATGCTGGCTGCAGCTGTCTGTTAGGTCTACAACCTCCAGGAACTCTCCTGGCTATTTCACAAATCACACTTTTCCATTAACTGCATTCGGTGTCCCATACATACTTTTCAAGTTCCCACCTGGAACGAACCTAAAAAGACACTTGCATTTCTTTTGGAAAGAAGCTTTCTTAGGTAAGGAAATTCCAGGGAGAACCCACCACCACCACCGCCTCTGTCGGGAGACCAGAGAGACAAGGGAGCAGGGGAAGGCGGAGAGAGACCTTGTTTCTGAGGCTGATGTCTGAGGCTCCCAGTTTGCAGAGCTCTCAGCATGCAGGAGCACTGTGCATTGGGGACTCGTTTTCTGCACCCAGCAACATCTTTGCAGGTCAGTCCTGCACAAGTGCTCGTCCCTACACATGCATGTGGCCTCCTAGAGTCCCAGAAATATAGCAACGCTTTTCAAAGCCTCCACTGACCTCTTGTTCCTCAGCTTTTCCTTGTCAGCTTTTTGATTTCCCTATTGTTGACTCTGAGTGTTATCTGATGCCTAGACAGCCACTGTGGCCTCTGACAACTGACTCGGATTTTGTTCTTTTCATCAACTACCCCCAAAAGTGGCTGTTTATATGAGTGAGCTCCCACTGAGCAAGCTAGGAGCCATCAGATCAAATAAAAATACCCTTGAGAGTGGGGTCCTCCAGAAAACCACCCAGCACCACAAATAAAAACAGTGTTTTGGAAACTGAGCTCTTGGAAGTTCAAACCCTGTTCTGCCCTCTCCAGGGAAGGCCCTGGTGCGGGCTCCCCGGATGCAGGCTGGCTGTTTGCAAGGACACCGGGCAGTGGGAGAGAGGGCGATGAGCATGGAAGTCAACATGACACAAATCTCAACGGTCGTACCAACGCTCAATCCATTTTTTTTGAATAAATATTTGCTCTGGATTGTTATAAACCTTTGGTTAATTTTCAAAGTATTATTTAATAGAAAAGTTTATCCTGGTAAGTTTTGCCTGTATTCTCATTGCTTTTATGAAGGAAATTATTTTCAGAGGTCTTTAATCTACCATTTATACTAACAGCTTATAGGATATGAAAATATGCCACCCCAAAATATGACTGTAGGAGACCAGGGTATGCCACTCCAAAACACACCTCTTTGGCATGAGGATTAATTTGAGCTGCTTATTTTGAGAAACTGTTGACACAGGAGGAGGTCTGAAAACAGAAGTGTCCTGCTGTTGGCTGGTGCTGGGGGGTCAGCTGTCGATGCCCTTGACCAGGGACGTCTCCAGCGCGGTGTCGAACTCCTGCGATGTCTGCAGCACGCGGGTCAAGGAACTGACAAGGGTGTGGTCTTTGGTCAGCGCCACGTCCTCACACGCGTGCAGTGACGGGGCAGTCAGCCAGCAGGGCGATCCAGCGATGCAGAAGGTGATCTCTGGCTCCCAAGCACACCAGCACCTGAAACTCGCCGTCCTTGCCGCTCTTCCCAAAGGGACGTAAGCGAACTGTGCGGGAGATGGAGAGGATATGCACACTCACCGTGGAAAGAAAACTAGAGGATTTTTGGAATAAATAATCTATTTTAGGGTTTATTTGCTGATTTTCTTTTCACACACTTTCATGCGAAAGACTGATGTGGAGAGGGAGCGAGGGAGCCGCTTATGTTGAAGCTGGCGCCCTCCCTCGCCTGGCTCCTGCTGCAGGCCCGGGACCAGCCTGCGCCCGGGCAGCTCGCCTGACGTTCTCTCTGTTACACTGTCATGGAAGTCGGGCTTTCACGGCCACGCCGGTGTGCTGGGCGGGAGCGCGCTCGGGTCACGGGGTCACGGCGCCTGCGCACTGGCTCCGTCAGCACGCCCCCTTCCTGCCAGTGCATTTGGGAAGGCGCGCCCGTTCATCGCTCAAAGTCACACTTCCTGTTGGCGGCAGCTGCCCGGAAGTAAACATGAGCATGTTGCAACAGGTTTTTCTTTTCTATTTTCTTTAATGTTTTGTTTATTTAACCCTCCGTTGTATGTTTTAAGTATTTTTTTTTCTTTTTTCTTCTTTTAAGGAAAGGGAGAACTTGTCACGGTCTTACTGGCTATACTATTGTTAAATTTATGCTGTTTGCAACTTAGAAACCAGCTACAGTATGGCCCATTTAATAAAACACCTGAAACAAACAAACAAAGAATAGAAGTTTCCCTTTTGTAAAGGAAATTCACATCTTTTTAGAAATCTCCATTTCTACGTGCATCTCCCCGCTCTCTGTGCGGGGAAGAGAAGGCGGCTCTCACGCCAGGCGCGTCACTGGAGGAGCCTGGCTTAAATCTGCACGACTCGCATTTCCGTGTTTACCGCTTTCCTGGGGCTCCAATGCCAGCCGCCCCCACACCTTTCTCTGCTTCAGTGAGTGAGGGCGGATTGAGCACCTCAAATCCCCTCCTTGAGAACTACTCATCTCCCGGGTACTTGCCATGAAGACAGAGCGGAAAGTAGACATGTTATTTTTCTCTTATTAATCTGTCTTTTATTATAAGGGTTGTAGACTAAGAACCCAGATTGGGTTGACAAAAATTTATTTTTCCTCCCCTACAATCACTTCCCCCCTTTAAAAAAAAGCTTTTTCATTTTCATTTCATTTTGCTCTTTTCATTTCTCACCTTGTGTCTTGCTGTTTTCCTCATTTATACTCTCCTTTAAGTGTAACCATGGTTTTGATTACCATGATGATTTTAATTATTTTTTCTTGTGTTGACTTGTTTCATCTCTCTTGTGAATTCTCTATAGCAACTTCAGCTCTTTTATTTGTGTTTTTTGATTCTGTTTTATTGAGGCTATGCTTTCTTTTTATTAAAATTCATGTTAGTATATCCAGTCAAGATTTTCACCTGCTTTGTGGTCATTTTGTTGTTGTTGTGTACTTTTGGCCTAAAATTTGTTCATCAAAATACTCTTTCTTTTATCTCTTATGTAATATTTCAAATTTTCTGTCCCTTTTCCTTTCACAATTTTCATTGGTTTTGAATGAAGTAAGTTATTTCTAACCAAGTTTATTTTTTTCCTCAAAGAGTTTTGCAGAAGGAATGAGTTAGAGTTGTGTGCTCTGGGCAAACGGGACAGCTCCTGTATTATCCGGTCAGTGTGTGTGTGTGAATTCTTTAAGTCATAGTCCCTCAGGGCCACTTACAATCGTCACTGCAGGGTTGTGTGCTATGCTCTCTGCCACCCATGTTTTTACAGTTATGCTGTTCCTTCAAAATATGGCTTTTCTATGTGATTTTTAATTTTTCTGTCTTCCCTTCTTTCTGAGTCTCCTTCAACCCATGCAATTTTTTCTGAAACCTATCACCATAAGCCTCTTCCATGAGAATCTTCATATACTTGTATTTCATGCTCACTATTTTTTCATGTTTTGCCTTTCTTTTCTCATATTTTGTGGCCTTTATTTAAAAATTCTCTTAATTTCACTGGAGATTGATTATTCAGTTCTGTTTTTTATTCTCTTAGGTGAATTCTAGGAGGAGTAATGCAAAAGTCATGGCTTTATGTTGCCATATTAAAACTGGAACATTTTGGTCACATAGCTAGAGAAAGGATAATTAATTTTATTATTTGTAATGAACACATGCAATGTCATCACACTAGAACATGTGAGAAATAAGGCTATAAGGCTCCCAGCGGACCAAAAGGACCCACTCTTGCCATGGAGGAGAAACCTTAACAACTAAATTCTTGGCAATGACAGGATGGGAGGTTGTACTCGCTTCATCGCGACTGTGCTTTCTTCCCTGAGGGCTACACCTGCCTGGCAAAGGTTGTTCCACTGCTAATTCTGACTGGCCTCTGGACCACTCCTCTCTTCTGCTGTTTCGACACAGCTGAGCAGCATTCCTTTCTGAGGAGAGACCACCGACCAGGGAGTGGTACTGAGCAGTCCGTAAGCGCTGTGCACGGAGGGCCTTCATGTCCCTTGCTTCACCTTTTGATGTCAGAGGGCTGAAAACTCCACCTTGGGACCATGCTAAGGCTGCCACTATTTTTAACGTGCAACCCACGGATTCACGAAGGGGCATGAAGCTCAAATGCACCTGTATATGTTCTCCTTTCATAAATATTCCTATGACTCCTCCTATAGCTTATTGAATATGTGTGTTCAGCACTGTGCTTAGCATAAATTCTTGTTCTCTTTCCCCTCCCTCTGAGTGCTTGCTCTCAGTTTCTACCCAAGGCTATTGTTTCCAGCCTGCAAGCTGGCCAGTCTGCCCGCTGCAACCCATCATGAGAAATAAGCTCTCCTTTCTGAATTTGTCAACCTCATCACTCTTCAGCTAACACATGTGCTTTGAATTTTGTTCACCACAAGATTAATTAATTTAAATTATTTACTTGAAATCTCTTTCTAGATACCTTGGGACCAATGATAATTATTTATACATCACCTTGTCTGGGATAGACCATGAGACCAATGAAACATCAAGTAGCTTACATGAAGATAAAACGTATACATATAAGCCTATGCAACAATTTGGCTTTGGAGCCATAAACTTAGATTGCATGGTGTGAAATCTCACCTTTAACACTATCCATGTGATGGGAAGAATTTACTGAACTTTAAATCTTCCTTTTCTAATCTTCAGGATAAGAATAGTTTTCAAAAAACTGTCATTTGGTTTTATTGTGATGATGTAATGAAATAATGTACATAAAGCTTATAACACATAGATTGTGGCATGGCATATAATAAATGCTTACTGCATATTAGCTGTTGTATAGTTAATCTTTGTAATATATGTAGAGCACACATATGAATGTGTGTTCTGAAAAAGTGGCTTTAACTAGTCAAAGAGATTTTTGGCTATAGAATTTCTAATTGAAAAAAGAAATGCATGTCAAAGAAATGCTTGTCCATTAGACAGGGGTAATAAATTTTTGAGATCTGCATTGCATGGTGACTATAGTTAATGATATTTCAAAATTGCTAAAAGACTAAATTTCAAATGTTCTTCCCCAAAATTGATATGTATATAAGATGATAGATACTAATTAGCTTAATTTAATTATTCCACAATGTATACATATATTGATTGTTACTGAGCAATGAGTTCACCTCCAGACGCCCAAAGATGCCAATATTATTGCATTGATTTTTGAGAAAAGAAAAAGCTTCATTTCCAGTAGACTAGGAAAAAGACAGGAGGCCAAGCTCAAATCTGTCTCTCCTGTGAGGGTGAGGTTAGGTCAAAGTTTTATAGGTCAGAGAAGACAGACTGGTATGTGGATGCCTGGTGGGGCAGGTTTCCACTGCAAGGCTTTAAACTTGTCCATTTAATGGTAAGGAATGGAGAAGGTTCTCAGACCTGACAACAGACTCCTTGCTTTTGAGAATGTTCCAACTTTTGGTCCCAGTCATATCTCAATTCTTGGGTTCCATGAGATGCGGGAGACTCTAATTCCAGGTGTTATCTGTTATTCGAGGTGGAAGTCTCTTTCTCAGGGTGTGCATCAGCTGCCTGAACTGCAGCTCCTGGTTCGGTGCCTGTGAAATAACTGGATATTCTGTTATCAACAGAGCAGGGCCCGTTAGAACTGATCTGGTGGTTACAAATACATCACATAGTACCCCATAAATATATGCAGTTGTTATTTGACAAATAAAAAAATTTAAAAGAGAATAACAACAGTGAGAAAAATTTCTAATTTGCAAACTCCTGTAGTAAAATAATCTGAATGTTTGAAGGAAACAATAGTGCTTTACTTGTAGAGGAATTTCCACGTAGCCTTTGATCTTCACAGCAACCAAATGAGGTGTACAGATCAGATTGGATAACAATAGGTTTCTCCATTTTCTCTATGTAAAACTCATGTGGTGATGAGTATTTACTAATATCCTAACAAAATTGGAGTTGGTTAGGGAAAGCAGAGGGCATTCTTTCTGGAGGCAGACAGACTTGGATCTGGCCTTGTCAATCACTAGCTATGTGATCTTTAGCAAGTTACCCAACATCTGTGAATTCCATGCATTCTATTATAATGGTAACAAGACTACCTCATGTCATAGGGTTGTTGTGGAGAATAATTAAGATAATTATTAGCTATGTTTGCCAACTTCTTTGAGTTTTGCACTACCAATGGTTTCAAAGCAAGCATTTTGAAGTAATTGTTTTCTGTTTTGATCTTTATGCCTTGGGACTGTTACAGCCTTGCCAGGTTCAGCCTGCTGCTAAAGAGGAAGCCAACACACTGAGACAGCAGGCATTAGATCAGAGAAAGCATTTAATATCACAGGCACCAGGTGAGGAGATGGGAGGAAGTTTTCAAATCTGACTCCCCAAGAATTTGGGAGAAAGGAATTTTAAGGGTAGTTAGGCTGGCAAAAGCCTAGGCAATTGGGTCTGCTAACTGGCTGGGGTTGGTGGGGGAACCATGAGGGTGTAGAAATTATCTTTGCTGAGTCTGTTCTTAGGTGGGGGTCTCGAGACCAGTTGTGGCAGTTCCTTGGTATAGGCCACTGTTCTTGCCTTAAGAATGCAGGGCCTGGAAGATATCTCAAAAACTAGCCTTAGGCTCTACAAGGGTGATGTTATCTATGGGATCAATGAAGAAAGCTAAGAAGCTTAATGGCCATCAGCTATGCGACTCCTGAGTAGTAAGCAATTATAGGAGAGCAAGCTAGGGGACAATGACTGGTTATATATACATGTTTCTCCTTCCACAGTTCCCACTCTGTGTCTCTTTATTAATTTCATAAGGGTCAGTTA